TAGCCTTGGCCACTCTCTTGGCACTTCTAATAGCTGCATACACCCTTTGAGAGCTGAGCACACCACTCCACTCACTTGCACACTTGATTCCATCATCTTGAGTGAGATTGGAGAGCCTCTAGTGCATTGCTTAGTGTTCTAGCATCTTGTGTTACTAGTTAGGTGATTTGGACTGGTGGAGTTCTTGTTACTCTTAAGTGTTTGCCGACACCTAGACGGCCCGGTGATTGGTGAATCGTTGAGCGGCTATTGGTGATTGTTGTCGGCTCCGATCATCGACATTGTAAGGGGTTCTTGTGCCTTCCCCGTGGGAGATCACGAAAGGCAACTCTAGTGGATTGCGCGTGGCTTATGTGATCCTCATCTTGTGTTGGTTGTGCAGCACCCTATTGAGGGTTTGGCGTGTGATGTCAATTAACATGTGAACCTCCAAGTGAGTGAATCGCCACAATGAGGACTAGTTTGCCGGCAAGCAAGTGAACCTCGGTAAAAAATCATTATATCATCATTTGATTCTGAGGTGATTGGCCTTCATTGGTATTCATTACTGTGATTGATTAGCTCCTTTGGTGATTGGCTCATTCCTCTATACGGCGGTATAACTCTCCATCCTTCCCGCGTATTTACATTTCTTAGTGTAGCTTGGCTCTTTAGTGTAGCTAGTTTTGAGGGCAAGTAAGAGTCGTGTCTAGTGGTTAGTGAGGCTCTTTAGTTAGTCTTTGAGAGTTCACTAATTTAGTGTAGTGACATAGTCTTTGAGTGCTTATAGACAATAGCAACTAGAATTGTGATAGGTGGCTTGCATTCTTAGTAGGCTAGCACAACATTTGCTTTGCCTCATATTTATCTAATCGCTTTGCGTAGTGTTGTTGTAGAAAATTTTTATAGGCTATTCACCCCCCTCTCGCCATTAGGACCTTTCACCCGCCTACTGCCGCTCTTCCTCTACTGCTTCGCCGCCGATGCCTAGGCCCCTCGCCCACCGCTGCCATCGTGGGTGACATGACTCTTTCGCTCAAGATGGATGTGACAACAGTAAAGTTCAGATGTTTCGTGTATTTATTTCATTTGTTTCAATTGTTCGTTTCTCTTGTTGTGGATTTTGTTCACTGGTTTTCTAGGATTTCTATTCTAATTTTTGCTTGCCCCTCTCTATAGGATTTGTGATGCTTCAATGTTTGATTTTGCATGTTGCAATGCTTGATTTTGAGATGTTAAGGTGGGAATTGGTGTTGACATGGGGGTATCCTTCTTCCTCGCTGGCTGACTTTGTGAAGGAAACACTTTCATGTTGCAGCTGAATGAATTTGATGTTGAAGTAGCCTTTGTTCTGATGTTGCAACAAGTAATATTTCTTTGTTGCATTAATCTTTTTTAGTTGTTGCATGGGTTATTATCTGATGTTTCAATAGCTGAATTGCAAAGTCTCCGTCTTACAGGAAAAAAGGGATTTCGATCGGTTGTTGCATGAAACATCTCCGTTGTTCCAGCAGAAATTCATTTTTCTTAGAGTCTCATGGGATCAGATGATGTTATTTTTATCATATATTTCTCGTTGTTGCAAAGATAACTTCTGATGTTGCATCTCGCATTGCTCCGTGTTGCAAAGTCACTTTTGGTCGGATCACTTGTGACATGCGAATCCTCCAAGCTAGCATGGCGCCTGCCGTTGAGCGCACAGGCCCCACCATCATTGAACCATCTGCCGTCCTCCTGGATCCTTTGCCGCACTCTACGACGGTTGCGCATCTGGAGCATGGGCGTGAGTCGCGAGGCAAGTCCCTTTGGCATCGCGCCACAGGCAACGTCCACCGCCAATCTCGTCGGCTCAGGCGCTGGCATCGATGGAAGGTGAAGCAGCAAGGGAGAGAATAATGTTGTGTTTGTGAAACGAGAGCAGGGGAGAGGCCGAGAGGTAAGACTGTGTGTTGGATCCATGGGAAGGAAGCAGCGTGCAGATAAGCATGTGCGTGATTTTTTTATTCGCGTATTAACGTTTCAGCGGAAATTTGCACCGTCCGACGCTAAGCGTCCGGATCGGACATCCGGGCGCTAGCAACTCCATTCTATTAGTGAAAACCGACTGAAAATAACATTGATATCTAGCCAGCCCTTAATTGAAAAATTCAAGAAACAGATAATGGATTATAATCTCACCGCCACTGAATCTCGAACTAGGCTCTGTTGCAGAGAGCTCTCATCAGCGCCGGCTCCCAGTTAAAGTTATAAAAACCTGCTTCACTACTAGTTCATTTTACAGTGAGCATTTCTTTTAAACATAATTTACAGGGAACTTCGTGAAGGTAAAGTAAGATTATTTCAACTTGTTATTCCATTCCCTCCATGACAGTACAATCACAAGATTATTCCAAAGCTTTCTTTCGACCACCAAACTATGTATATATATATAGTAGTTGATCAGTAGTTGACGACGTGACACTCCTTCCTGATCTCACCCTCCTCACCGGTGAGCACGCCAAACCCAGCGAGCTTCATGAATGCCGAGGCAAAGACGCCGAAGAAGCCCTCCCTGTCCTGAGCAAACCGCCGCACCACTACCCTAGTCTTTGACATCACCGATGGTTCAAAATCCCTCTTTACTGTCGGATTACCGACAGTGATGTGGATTGATATCACTGTCGGTTCTTATGAACCAACAGTGATATTGTTTTTAGGAAATCAAAAAACAGGAAAAAAATAAGGATTTTTTTTAATTTCGAGAGAGGCCCCATTGGACAGCCACACGGTCGGGCATCGCAAGTCACAAGTCACACAATTTTTCACGCGAAAATCACACGCTTCGCGGCCACCGACGCTCAAACCCCTAACCTCCTACTTCGTGTCTTCAGCCCCAACCACTCCACCTGCAAGTTGTTTATATCCGAATGTGATTTTCGTCCTAGCCATTTTATGTTTATCTGATTTTAAAATGAGTATTTAGGACTCTAAACAAATTCAAATGAAAAAATTGTCAACTAAAAAGTTTTATAATTTTTCGAGATCTAAAACTTTTATTTTAGTAGTTTCTCCATCCGAGGTCGTTTACAAAATTTGAATTTCAAATTTGAGAAATTCAAACTTAGTTTTCCAAGACAAAATGATTTCAAATCAAAAAGTTATCAACTACAAAGTTTCATAACTTTTTGAGATCTACAACTTTCGTTTTTGCTGATTATCCATCCGAGGTCATTTAAAAAATTCAAATTTCAAATTTTTTGAAATTCAAATGTAGTTTTTCTTGACAAGATGATTTCAAATTAAAAAGTTGTCAACTACAAAGTTTCATAACTTTTTGGGATCTACAACTTTTATTTTCATAGTTTTTCCATCCAAGATCGTTTATAAAATTTGAATTTCAAATTTTAGAAATTCAAACGTAGTTTTTCTTGACAAGATGATTTTAAATCAAAAAGTTGTCAACTACAGAGTTTCATAACTTTACAAGATCTACAACTTTTATTTTGGTTATTTGATCATTTATTCATCCGATATAGTGGTAATAACATTATTCACAAATATAAAATATCCCTTTTATAGTTTATGAAACTTTAAGAGAGATACGTAAATTTTGTGAACAATGTCACTACCATTTTATCGGATGAAGAAATAACCAAAATAAAAGTTGTATATCTTGATAAGTTCTACAACTTCTATGTTCATGACTTTTTCAGCTAAAATCATTTAGTGTTCCAAAATGACGTTTCAAGTTGCCATTTTTTTAAATTCAAAATTCAAATAGATAAAAACACAATCACATGAAAAGATAGATAAAATAATAGCTATAAGACCACAATAAATTGATAGAGCATGATTTTAGAATTTTTTAGAAAAAAATTAATCAAATTTGAAGTTAGTATGAGGATAAAGACTAGTTACAAGTTTTAGCGAGAGACAAAAAGAGAAATCAGAGTTCTTCAATAATTTTAAAATTTAATTTTAAACAGTATTTTGAACTAGTAAATGATTTTAAATAAAAAAGTTGTCAACTATAAAGTTGCATAACTTTTCGATATCTATAACTTTTGTTTTGAGTGTTTCTCCATCCGAGATCGTTTGAAAAATTTAAATTTTTAATTTGAGAAATCAAACATAATTTTCGTTAGATAGATGATTTCAAATGAAAACATTTGGACATCCAAATGATCTTAAATTTAAAAAGTTTAAACTACAAAGTTGTAGATCTCATCAAGTACTATAACTTTGATATAAAGTTCGTCTTAATCGGACATCATATGAGAAACTTATGAAGTTTTCTTGCAGCATATCTCTGTCGGTTCAAGCCATGGCCATGAACCGACACTGATAGTATCAGTGTCGGTTCTTGGCTAAAATTGACAGTGATGACCCAATGTCACTGTCGATTCTTGGCTAAAACCGATAATGATATGAACCGACAGTGAAGATCCGAATATCAGTGTCGGTTGATCCTATTACTGTCAGTTTTAAGAAAAAACCGGCAATGATGGACTATCACTGTCGATTTCTTAAAATCCGGCAGTGACGAGGCCGACAGTAATGCCTAATTCTGTAGTAGTGAAACGTAGCCCGCCGTGCGCGCTTCCGTGGAAGCCTCGGCGTCGACGTTGAAGAGCCCACGACCTGCGGCGGCGCCCCAGTAGTAGTGGGTGTCGAACCATGTCGGCGTCAGGTCGCTGGGAACAACGACGGCGTCTGTGATCAGTGGCGGCACGATCTTGGGGCACTGCAGATGCAGCAGCGCCTCGAAAGCCTTGTCGCGGCGCTCACGGCCGGTGTCTATGTTGATGCAGTGGCCACCCCACAGCGTGTGGCTTCCTGAATGAATGTATGAAGAACAACACAACGATCACACACATTAAGAAATGTTCAAACTTTTGTAGAAATTTTACATCAATGTATAAGTTGGTGTATGTTTATAGCCGCCACAGGAGCAAAATTTTGGATTGTACGAAAATAAACCTAGAATGGCGACTGTCTCCTCGACGGTCATGCCGTGGTTGGTAAAGATGTCGAGCGCGCCGTCAATCCCGAGGAAACAGGACGGAAGCTGCGCATCGGCGGCCTGCGTGCTGGTAGTGGTCGCGTCCATCCCTCCGGCCAAGGGGCACGCTGGGGATGCGCGGCCCGCCGGCGTGCGCCACGGCCTCCCTCGCTGCCAGGACGACGATGTCGGCGCAGGACACCAGGCCGGGGCAGGCCGCTTCCACGGCCGCCTTCACGAGCCCGATCGTGCCGACGTGCCGGATCCCGAGGTTCTTGCGTGAGTCCAGCTCCGAGGTGATGTGCCGGCGCTCGTCGGAGCTGAGCAATATGGAGCCGTCACATCCCTGCAGCCGCGCGCACACCAACGATCGATACAATCAGTCATCCAACGAAGGCGCGCGCTCATCTCTTCTCGTACGTACGTACGTACATGGACTTGGCAGTCATGGAAGAGCAGGCGGAGGAGGGCGGCCGGCGAGGTGATGTCCACGGCGAAGATTGGTGCCAGGGACTTCTTGATGATGATCTCCAGCTCCGATCCGGGCAGGACTCGCTGTAGTGGTCGTCGGAGAGGCCGCCGCCATAGTCACCAGTCGCCTTGCACACACACGGAGTTAGCACGAGCACCAATAACGATCCATGTGCCAGAGCACAAACAATTGTACCAAGCTTTTCACCACGAGACACGGCCATCTCCTGACTCCGATCGACTCGAGTGGAATGAGAACGTCTGGATGGAAGTGAGGAACATTAGAGACAAGTGACAGCATATTTATAGGACAAAAGCTTCTGTATTTTCTGTATATACCATGCGGTCAACTCATTAAGCACTACTACAAAACAGACTTCTGCAGGGGCCTTGGCCCCTCCTCCAGTTTCCTCAAAAAACTACAAAACAGACAGTCATCAAGGGTATGCTCTTTGCAGAAGAAATGTCAGGATGCAGATTTTGAGGAGAGAAGTCTCGATCACGAGTTTAATTGCGTTTGGTTTCTATAGGGTGCCTAACTTGGATTGTAACCTGATATTGCATCTCACAGCATGGATGACGAAATCAGCAACTACCCACTTGACCTAATTAATGACTCTCTGTGGCAACGAAGTCTCAGTGATGAAGTTAATGAACTTGGAGCTAGTCAGCCTGCTCGTTTGGCTGTGGCTTGTCGTAAACGATCGTAAATTTTTCGCCGGAACAGTATTTTTCTCTCACACAAACTAGCCAGCAGTACTTCTTCAAGAACCAGCAACGATACGAACCAACCAACCGAACAGGCTGAGTGCTAGTGCCTCGAAGAACAACGGTTGCATTGTTCAGGCAGTGGAATGTATGATGCACCAACTTGGGTGATGATGATGTTGACGGGGAAAGATAGCATGGCATGCCACATAATACGAGGGACAAGATTGAGCTAAAAACAAAAAAAAATAAAGAATGAAACAGCTATTTTTGATAGTTCATGGATAATATGAAGCTTAAAAAACAAAGTTTGAGTAATGAAAAGGTCAATTAGTAATTCTAGGATGAAAATGAGCCAGATAGTAATGTTTAAGACCTAAAAGATACTATAGAACTGGCGATCACTGTCGGACTATCATTGTTGGTTGTTTTAGAACCGGCAGTGATAGAGAATCTGGCTTCAACCAGCAGTGATAAGGTGGACTATCAATGTCGATTCGTGGCTTCAATCGATAGTGATAGACAGTGTAATATAACTGTCGAACCGGCAGTGATAATTGTTTTACACAAAAAATTCATAACATTTTCATATGAGATCGAATTAAGATAAACTTTATATCAAAATTGAAGAGTTTAAAGAGATCTGAAACTTTGTAGTTGACAAATTTTATATTCGAGGTGGTTTACAAGTCCAAATATTTAATATAAGTTCTTGGATCAGATTTGTCATAATTAACAATGTCGAATGGAGACAAAGTCAACATCGTCTACAAACTTTGCAGCTAACAACTTTTTCATTTGAGATTATTTTGAGTGTCAAATATACAATATAAAATTCAATAATGTGTAGTTAAAAGAATAGGGTCAGTTACATATATATGTTCCACGATAGCTCAATTATTCCACGTAGCTCAATTGGTATGTGCGCTCGCAAGAACGTGAACGTTGAGGTCTTGAGTTCAAATCTTGAAAACCACATACTATATTTTTATATCACCTTTTATTAAAAAAATCAAGAATAAACTAAGCCTCATCAAACAATAGTTAATATCGACCTTACTCAATCAGGGGACCTCATGATGGCAACGATATTCTATTATCCATAAAGGGCATCAACGTCGTTGGTGAAAGAATGTAGAACAAACACTGGAGCAGGTGGTTAGTAAAATAACAAGCCCTAATAGCCACTACTAGCACTAGCTTTAGCTCTATCTCACCAAAAGAAGCCTCTACATAATTATAGTAACAATTGAATTTTACACTAGATCACTTCACCACACAAGAGCTACTAGCTAAACTAGGCTATTCTAGTTAACTAAACTAGTGAGCAACTAAACAAGCTACTCTATTACTAAAGCTACAACTAACAAGCAGCTACCACATATATGAATGTAAAAGCACAATAATGTGCAGCTCAATAACGAACTGGGCAAGAGGGAGACACAATCAATTTCTCCCCGAGGTTCGGTTGCTTACTGGCAATCTACGTCCTCGTTGTGGCGAGTCTCAATGTGATGATTCATGCACTAACAAGCCTTATAAGCTTGACCCTCAATCAACTTGAGTGTCGAATGAATCAAGCACAAGCAGCACTCCAACCAGCCATGAGCATTCCACTAGAGTCAGCATGTTCACTGGTTGATTTCTGGGCTGATAAGCCCGGTTGGTGCTGCTTTGTTGTGAGAGTAAAACACTGTTAGCTGGCTGATAAGCCCTGGCTGAAACCAACAAGCAAACATGCTGAGTATCTCTTTGGAATCTCTGCGAGGTGGGATCAATACCTCTTACAAATCACCAATCGGAGGTGAAGAACTATCAACAACACTCCCCTCAAAGATCATTGCTGCTCCAAGTTGTCAAGGAGGTGGCAACCACAAAAAGTAACAAGAAATCCACAGCCCAAATAATGAACTAGTGCCACTAGATACAAATCAACTAAGCAAATGCACTAGATCTCTCCCGGCCTCACTTTAGATCAAGCAACAAGCAAAATATGAGTGAGATGTATTCTTGAAGGCTCACACAAGTGATGGAATGCTTAGAGTTCCAAGAAGAGCTCACCAAGAGCCGGTCAACACAAATATACAGTGCTCCACCAAAACTAGCCGTTGGAAAGCTTCCTGGTGGGTTGTCTGCTGAGCACTAGAATAATCCAGTGCTCACCACACAGACACCACTGAAACAAGCATTACTCGATCAGATAGTTGAGATTTAATTACAGATTTAAACTTTGTAATGCATTTCTAGTGTTCACTTAACCAAACACACCTGAAACATCCTCAATTTTCCGCGTAGGGAAAATCCACAGAATGAATTATAATATGATGAAACCAATAGTTGATTCCATCATATTATCATATATCAGTCGATATCACAGTCATACATCGTAAGATTACAAGAATACAAGATATTACATCACTAGGGAACACACCTATTACAGGGTTAATCTAGCGGAAGACTATCGAGTGAAGGCTCCTCCTTCACGGGTCATCATCAGAGTTGGCGTAGTGCAGCGTAGATTTCATCTCTGAACCAAACTTGAGCGTAGGCACGAGACCTCCTAATCCTTCTAAACTCAGCATTTCTGAAAAGCAGGAAATCTGCACACCGCCAGATGTGTGCAGGCCATGGTCAGCACCGATGAACTTTAGTGGAAAAAGATAAACAAGGGATCTGGCGATCCTAATATTTGGATGTAGTTTGCATCCTTAGCGCATGAGAAGTAAGTAATAATAGTAATGTAATAATAATGTCCAGTTTTTAACACATTCCCATCCACACACATCCACATCCATCCATATCCGTCCACCAACCCATCCCAACCATAACCACACCACCATCACCACATCTCATCTCACACACTCAGGTCGACAAGCCGACTCCCTCTCGGCACTTGTCTCAACGGCCCGTAGCCCCTAGCTCACGGCCGGAAAATACCCCAACCCTAGAGGGAGAATAGAAGGACTCATCTCCTATCTAGTTTAAGCGAAACCCAGGAAAGGTCCATAGCCGACGAGTCGGCATATGTATCGATCGATCAACCATACACTCTGCAGAGGTTTCACATACCCACAAGATAGCCATCCTCGACGGTGCCGCGTCTAGGCAGATTCCGGCCGCTTGCTAGCCTAGAACGATGCCACCCTACCTCTCAGCCCTGGAACATCCCAAGTCTAGTCTGGGATGGCTGATACTGTGAGTCGTAGACAGAGTTGGGGCCCACCGGATGTCAAGAGCCGGTCCACAAGGCCTCCTGAAGTCTCGGAAGGGTGTGGGGGAAACCGCGCGCCCCGTACCTCCTTGCACGCGTTCGCCTAGCAGTAGTGGCACCGCTCTACCAAGTAGTCCGACCGTCCCGTACCATATAGGGCGAGTGGGATGTAGAGGATTTTCGGTGAATCTAAGTACTAGTAAGTCCTTAGGGGTGACCAAGCCAGAATGTCTTCATTAGGGTTTCCATTTACAGTGCCACCATAGCACCGCCACCCTGGGCTCCACCTCTTCGAGGTTCACACCCAAAGCCATCTCCAATTACCATTTACCCGCCATAGGTATTCCATATCCAAGTGCCCAGGTAGCACCACATGGCAAGACTCGCCCTAGGCTCGTCGTTATTCCAGCTCGGTCGACACAACCCTCACTCTCCACACACCCAAGACACACGCAGCACGCTCACACACCACCAAGTCTGGCACCCAAAGCCAAACCATTCCTAGGGGGTGCACCACCAGCATCACATCCCCGATATAATGCGAAGTGGAGTTAATAATAAGTATAGTGGTGTAATATGCAAGCAAGCAGGCAAGTAAGCATATATAAGCGAACGAATGCGCAAAGCAGGGTGACGTGGTAGAGTGGGTTGCATCAGGGTAATAATGGCTCAGGTAGTAGCATGCATCAAAGTTCTAGCAAAGGAATAATTATAAAGCGCTAGCAGTTCTAGATATTATGTAATGTCTAATAGGATTCTCTAAAAGAGGGTGCTACCATGACACCTGCGATGTAGAGGTACAATTCTCCATCCGTTGGTGTTCAATCAGCGGGATCACCTCCTCCAGAGTCGACTCCATCCCACAGTCCTTGTCGTCGATCACGTTCCCTTGGTCCGATCGTCAGCTACTCCGCGAAGCGATACGCAAGGCAAGAGAACACTCAACACTCGAAAAGACGGCAAGGCGCTAGAAGATCCAATAACACCAACGAGACACATTAAGATACACGGCTTAGCCCTCTCGGTGGTTGTCCGATTTCATCGGGCCAAAGAAACAAGAGTGGTGGTTTGCTATGCACAAGCTTAAGTCATGGCCAAGTCGGATTGGCTGTAGGATAATTGGTTTAAGCCACCAAGGATTATCCATAGCAAGCACCACGGCTCACGGTCTTTTGATTCGGGCATCATGGAGTTGACGGGAATCGGAGGACGGGCCAAGTAAGGAAAGAACGACGGGTTTCGGCTCTTGTAGCCTTTTCCCGCAAGTCACAATTAGACGCGAGATGCAAACAAGAACAAATAACA